TAGAATCTAGTTTTCCGTGAAATTGCTTTTATAAGACACATGAATCGTGAAACGGCTTTTTTTTTCGTTGTGAAACGTGATTCATACCTTTCCCACCCTCTATATAAGGCTAAGGCTAAGCTATACATTTTCTATCGTGCATTTATAGAAGAAATATGTTTAGTTTCATTATTATTAACAGTAGTCAGTAACACATTTGCCAAATTTGAACTTGGTTGCCTTCGCCTCGATCAGCGTGTTGTTATTTTCCTATGGCTATGTTGTAAACACTGAAACACATTTTCAAAATATAAACTAAATAGACGGTCTTATAGTATATGTACAACGTGTCATACCCATTCAAGGCCCAGAAACGTTCCGTCGTTTTAACTGAGCATTATTCAATAATTATATTAAATATTTTCAAAATGCATTTATAAAATATAAAAGATTATGAAAGTATTGTTAAAATTGTTTAGCATCCACGTTTTGTCGTTATCGGAAAATGTATGGCTTATAAGTTGTCATTACTCATTAGTGAATGCGCGCATAATCCGTATATGAAACTGTTTTTTACTTGCATTATTTCAATATTAGTTGTGAATGTTAAAACTTGCCAATACTCCAATAATACGTTTCAAAAACGACAAAAAGCTTTTACTTTGCAGAGTTACATTCTCAAACGTGTAAGGCACTAATAAGATCAAAGTATCACGAAATTATTTGAATAAACCACATCGTATAACGGGGGCGAATATCCTAATGGGGGGCGATATTCCTAGGGTATTTCCCCCCCCTGGGGAGCGATATTCCTAGGATATTCGTCACCCGGGGGCGATATTCCAAGGAATATCGCCCCCCCCCGTTTGAATCTCTTGGGGGGGGGCGAAATTGCTGTGACACCAGATAGATTGTTAATAGCAATTCAGTTAGTAACACGTCGTCGGAAAGCTTTTAATATTTTCATTCTGAAAACATAGAAGCCTTTTTTTGTGGCTGATGCTTGATGAAAAAATAGACACATCAGAGCTAGAAATCGTTCAACATTCAGCGTCAAAAGCACAGTTAACGAGGAACCATGTACATGCAACAAAACATATGGATTTATCAGTGAGCCGGTGCATGTTTCATTAATTCCTCCTTGGGAAAAATAAATTACAGATGCGACGGCTCCATAGACTGATTATAACCACCGAATTTAGGAATATTCCTGCAACCATAAAGATTATATTTATCATGCATGCACTGAAATACGATGCTAAAAATATCACTTTTTTGCATATTGTCATTGATAACTTGTCTTGCTTGCACAATAACCGAGTTCTATTTCTTCCGTTAATATCTTGCCTTATTGCTGCCTGCACATTCAATTTAATTAAACTGCCGGAATAATTTCCAAGGCACTCATAGAACACCTGCATGTTGTTATATACAGCTATTTCAATTAAGGTTGTCCAGGAGCAAAGCCGAAAAGTCGAATACGAGCGCGAAAGGCTGCTGGCAACCGCTTTGAAAATTCATTAATTTGTTAGCGATTCCCAGCAGCCTTTCGCGCTCGTATTCGACTTTTCCGCTTTGCTCATGGACAACCTTAATTGAAATAGCTGTATATACATAAGTTTAAAGCTAAATAATAAAGTATTTTGTCGCTTTGATGGACCTTAACAAATATAGGACTTCTGTTTGAAGCCTTTTTGTTCATGAAAAGTTCGAGCGAAAATTATATACGTATATTTTAGACCTGAATTAACTTGAGCAAATACGACCGCGGTGTTCCCATCCAACTTTATCCTTTAATTTTCCCCGGTGTAAATAACCGTGCGGAATTAGTATACTCTCTCCACGAGCTTCGCCCTATGAGCTCCGCGTGTGGTTCGGGGATTAACACGAAAATTCGTGGTCATGCCAATGGCCATAGGCGCACAAGACAAATTAATTAAATTTTGATTCGATTTGGATGAAAATTGGGTGAGAAATTAACAGAATTTTTGTGTTGCTTTTTCGGGAAGAGTAAACTGAATGCGTAATTAGTCCATTGTATAATTTATGCATGATATCTTGACTTAATTCACTGACGGAGGTATATCATAGATATCTTATATACACTAGATAACGCATCTCTTTTAGTAAAATTGAAGCCAAGAATTTCCAGCGGTTACCCCCATTTGAATAGATGGCGGCCATGTTGGTCGTTCCCACTCGCTAATAAACGCTTAAAAACAATAACTTTCAGCATTTGAATAGTTTGAAAATGTATTTGGAATAGGGTTAACCTAATATTCAAGTTCCCTATTTAAGAAATAGGAAATATACGAATCTTCTCTCATTTCATGGGAACGACCTGAGACTGCAATCACGGTTTCAATTTTTGAATTGCAGAATAATTATAGATGCACTATCTAGTGTATATAAGATATCTATGAGGTATATGCAGTCTCTGAGCGCTTTTTAGTTATAATACTTAATCCTTATAGCATAAATTTAATATAGACTTTGACATTGACATTGAATCTTAAAATAATTATTCGCCTAACCCTTATCAATTTCAAAAGTTTTAATAAAAAATATTTACACCCTCTACATTCTGTGACGAGTATGAAACATTTTCTACCCAAACTGCATTAACACAACTGCCAGAAAAGGAGGCGGACATCTTTTTATTGCCGGACACATTACAATATAATACGACAACTATTTATAATTAAATTTATATTTTTTTCTTGCTAAGTATAATGGCGAAGAGAATGCCTCGAATAACATAATATTCTGAATCACTATCATACTTAAATACTCTAATGTTTCCATCGAGGATCCACACAATAAATATCGTCCCGTGTTTTTGTTAGATCATCTGTTTGTGTACAACAAATATTGCATGTATATTACTTTACTAATAAACCCATGGGAAAATTAACCAACTAATTTTGACGGCAGTGTTTTTTGTAGAGAACGATCATCAAATAGATAAGAAAATTTGGAATTAATTTTGGTCTTCTTTGACCGAGGCAAACACTAGCGATATAACGCGTGGGTTTAACTCATAATTTCTTTCTAAACATAACAACATGCTCATGCAAGTTCAGTCAATCTAATGAAGCGGTTTTTGTCTTCAAAGAATTAATTATGGGGGCCATTCACAAAATACGTGACGTTGTTTTTGCCAATTTTCACCGCTCTCTATCCCTTGTGGCAGTGTGTGACAGCTAGCTGAGCCTGTACACCCCATCGTAACATACGTAACTCTGAGCCAACCACCCCCTCCCCCCAAACAATTCTCACAAAACACAAATTTAATATGCAACAACAGCCAGATTCAAAATGTTATCTATAAATCGACACTATTTCTATTAAACCTTCGGCCTAAAAAGTTTCCCACTCAGGTTCTCCCTGGTTTGTTGAATAAACGGGAGTGCGCGCCGTATTCCATGGCGATGTCAGGAGAAGTATTTTGGTAGAAAATGATTAATTTGTCATCTAAAGGACACATATTTGCAAGCACGGTTGTTTTGTTATATATAGAAAGGGATAAACTTTTCCCAATACGCCTCTCCGTCACGTCATACCGCTTGTGCTGCTCTCTTGTGACACTTTACGACTCCTGATCAAACATCCCCCCCCCCCCCTACCCCCACGAGCGTCACGTATTTTGTGAATGGCCCCATAGAACGAATTTTCTACAATAGCCGGGAATAGATTGTTAATAGCAATTCAGTTAGTAACGCGTCGTCGAAAAGCGTTTACTATCTTCATTCCTTCTCGACGCAGAATTGAGTTTCTCCAGGAAAATATCACACAGTTGAACGTCGAGTTCAAAGTGATAAACGTGCTTGACCACAGTTGAAATAACGAAACTTGCATCTCAGGCAACGACGTTCTTGATTCTATAAAACGTAAAGCTGCATATATAATATACGGGCAGAAACAACAGAAAAAACAGCCAACTGCCAAAGAACACGTAGAAATACTTTTGAGATTTAAGATTCGTCTTTTCCTATTTTCATCCGTCCCTATAGTTGGAGCAACCCTTTCGTCCGCGCGTTTGGACTTCGCGATTATAAAAATTTTGTAATTTGAATAAATGAACAAGAATAGGAGGGATACAACAGTTACACTTGAATAAATATCGACAATTCTTTCCAATTTAAAATATACCAATGGCGATAGACAGACTATTGTAACCGTCCAAAATGCCTGAAAACATAGAAGCCTTGTTTTTGTGACTGATGCTTGATGGAAAAATGGACAGGTCAGGGCTAGGAATCGTTCAACATTCAGCGTAAAAAGCGCAAACAACGAGGAACCACATACAACAAAAGACATGGATTTCCTTGCGTTCTCGCGTATTTCATTAATTACTCCTTGGGAAAAATAAATTGTAGATACGATCAAGAATGGACAAGTGATGGTGACTACAGCCAGATCAAAACAAGATAATACAAGAATCATAAAGTAGCATGGTTTCTTTCGAAGTTGTGGCGACCTCCATAGACTGATTATCATCACAGAATTTAGGAATATTCCTGCGACCATAAAGATTATATTTATAATGCACAAAAATACGACGCTAAAAATATCATTTTTTTCCATATTGAATTAGACTTGTCTTGCATGTGCACATTACTGTCCGTTTCTTCTTATAATTATTTATTGGTCTGCCGTATACATTCGATTTAAACTGAATATTTTAGACTGAGACACTCGTGTATCACCTGTTGTCATATACATGTTGAAAGCAAACTAATGACATATTTTGTCTTTTTGAAGGACTTTAGTAAGTGCAGGACGCCTTTGGATGGTTTTTGTTAATGCAAAGTTTGAACGAAAATTATATACATATTTTAGACCTGACTTGAAGTGGCTGCGGCCTCGGTGTTCCAACCACCCCACCTTTTCCAGGGTGTAAATAGCCGTGCGGAATTAGTATACTCTCGGCGTGGGCTTCGCCCTATGAGCTCCGCGCGTGGTTCGGGGATTAACACGAAATTTGTGGGGCTAATGGCCATATATAGGCCAAAGACAAATTTATTAAATTTTTGTTCGATTTGGGTGCAATATCGTTCCCAGAGTATGCCTGTTCGCGGGTTATGTGGTGGCATGACTACATAACCCGCGAACAGGCATACTCTGGGAACGAGATTGATTTGGGTGAAAATTGGATGAGAAATTAACAAAATTGAAAATTTTCCGTCTTGCTTTTCCGGACAGAGTAAACTAAATGCATATAATTAGTCCATCTGTCCATTGTATAATACATCCTTTCGACAATTACGTCACACATATTTTTTTGTCTTGGAGGCTCGCTCTCATTAGTAATTTGCGCAAGGTGATTGGCTCACGATTCATGAGAGCGAGGCTTCTAGGCCAAATGACGTAATTAGCGAAAGGGTGTATTTATGCATAATATCTTGACTTATAACTAACTGGCGGAAGCATATGCAGTCCGTCTGAGTGCTCTCCTGTTTAATACTTAATCCTTATAGCATAAATTAATTTAATATATATGGCTCGCCAGAATCAGAAACCGGTCGGTAAAGTGACCACAAATAATTTTCAAATATCGTATAATAATAGTAGTTTTTAGTATTCGATCTAAAATTATAAATACAAGAATTATCTACTAAATAAAGTAAATTAATAATGAGAAACAACATGAACTTACTTCTTTGGCCTATATCACTTTACAATATACCAAATATGAACCTATTTCTGAACGTTAAACCTCGAGCAAACAACTTAAAACCAACGTGTTTATTTCCCGCTATTTTTCTGTCACGTGACTGTGTCTGTTCAATGACGTAATTACTGATCTATATTAAAATTAGCAAAACATCCTCCACCCCAATGAGGACATTGTTCTCATTCTATTCTCCGTCCACGGG